GAGTATGAAGTGGCTGACTCACCTTTTAAAAAAGATATCTGCATGTTTTAACAGACAAGTGGCCTACAAGCTCAGGTTTCAGAGTATTCCCTCTAAAGAGGGAGAATATCGTGAGTAACAATATTAACCAATTAGCTAAGAATTTACGTCGATGAATATATTTTGCAAAAAGAAAAATCCTTTGTGTTTCGCATTTTTAAGTGTACTCAACTTTTGAAGAGGACTTGGAAGGAAACTTGATGTATAGCGTTTTATTCACAATTATATATAAAAGTAAATAGTTTGTATGTTTATTAGCAACCTTATCGTTGGAGTTTTGAGTCTTATAGAATTAGTGTAATATCATTTGGATCGATTGTCGTACTCAGATTAATAATAAAAAAAACTTAACCCACTTTTCAACAATTATTTTCGAGATACCTAATTAATGATTTAAGTTATCATTAATGTCTCTGAGTACGCCAGTTGCAGTCAAATCTAATGTGCTATCATGTATTTGTAACTATACCTAGTTAATACCAGAAATTGTTGCGCAATTTTCAATTCTTACAATTAGTTTATAATGTAGAATTGTAAGTAAGATTTTAGTAGTTATGATGTATCTGTATATATTTGGAGCCTTCAGGTATTCCGTCCAATCAATAGAGTAACTTATTTAAGTAGTTTATGTAAGTTTTGTAGCGATATTTATGAAGATTTTAATGTAGTATAATTATGTAATTTTAGGTGACTATATAATGTTTTTAAATCTTAAAACCTTTTTGAATTTATTCGTTATTTTACATTGACTTGTTGTTATAGTCGATTTTGATTATTTCCTCAAAATTATAGTTATGAATATTATTGAAAAATTGGAATATAAAAGACGATTCTCATGTTTTAGAAAAAGTTTTGTATAGTCCTTTCTTATTATAAGATTATAAGTAGATATTTTTAGCATATGATTAGGTATTGCACAAGTAGTGAAAAAGTAGTTGTAGAACTTCGGAACTTTTATGTGGCATGTGTTTTCATATAGGGTAGTACACAAAGAAAATAGGTAGGTACTCATATGTAATCATAAGTCTAAAAAGTTAAACCAGACAGAACGTTTAAGACGCTTCAGAAGAGCCTACAAATTTTGACTTGAACATGTACCTATTGGCAAGGAAACCTCGTGCCACGTAAAAGTTCTTATTTTTTTTAAACTTATGTCAACATGAAGTTTACATATAGCATCTATGTATATTGTATGTGTATGTCAAAATATAAATTAAAAATATAGCTATATTGCATCTTCTATTGTTGTATTTTGATTTCGAATTGGAAATAAAATTTGTATGATTAATTTTTTTTATTATAAAAATTATAGTGTAGGTATTATGAACCTAAAATATATAACATCACGTTAACAATTAGGTATGACAGACAAATGAGGTTCGGGTCCGAAACCTGCCAGCTATTAATGTGACTTTTTCTAAGTTGTGTGCACTTTCTAATTAGTATAAGTATGTAGATACTGATATATTTATCTAATATTTATATTTCACTAACAAACGGTGAAGTGAAACATCGTAAGGGTCATTTCGACAAGTTAGAAATCATCAATCCTCCTTGATCAAGCTTTTAACTTTCTGCTTGTGAGAAAAGCCATTTTGCTCAGCAATGGGCGCTTATAGGCTGATGATAGGTATAGATGATGACGTATTTTTCTTCAATAGCAATTAACATTTCGGAAATATTCGTTCAGTTCTTAATATTAAAAAAAAAATCTAATTTTAAAGGAAAAGGTATACTTTTCCCTTTATCTCTAGTACAATAAGGTCTAAATTATTTTTGCCTTAACAATGTTTCGTGTCCCATCCATCACACCGAGTGTAGGAGAATCATGCTGCACAAATGTGCTGGCTCGATCGTATTAACACTACAGGCTAAAAGAAAACAGATTGCGTATCAAGCGCAATGAGGTACCGCGGAATGGGCCTGAAGCAGGTAAAACAACGGGGTTTTTTGACTCAGTAAGAGTCTGACCCCCATCTCGTCATAACCAGGGTGAGAGAAGAGCGTTGTGTATATAAACGAGGTAATTGGAGGCATAATCCTCACCCTCCCCCTATCGCCAAATCCCTAATCCTCTAATTCTTTGCAACCCCAAGACGTCGGCAACAGAATTACCCATGTAGTGTGATTTTTAAGTGAACCATTCACTCGTTTTCCGCCTGAACAAATAAAAGCAACATCAACACACCTTACGATGATTTCTTCACTATACATTAGTGGCAGTATACTATATACATATGTATATTAAAAAGTTGCCAGGTTCCGAACTCGCTCTCTCATGCATGAGATACAGATACCAGCTACCAATGACCTTTATCTACAGTGACATATTTGACTTTATAGTTTCCACATCAACACTTTAAAATAGTTCCAAAACTTTAGCGATACATATTCCAACGCAGACTTGATTAAAATAAAAAAGGTGCGTATAAGACAGATGAAATTGTTATAGTAACAGCTATGTATGTTATACAGAATCGTATACATTTCAACATGTTGCTACTGCCTACTGGTCAGGTGGCACTAGGAAAAAATTAAAACTGTGTACAAAAAATATTGCCTCGCAGAAACAAAAAAATGGACGATGGCCAAACAATTTTCGCGATGAAAATTGAGAATTTCATTTTTGGTATGTCTGTGCTGACTTACGATATACTTTTAGCGATATATCCACAAGATATACATACATATTGTAATATTATTTTGTTTTATAAAGTTTAAGGACAACTTTATATCTTGATTCAAATTTGGAACTCGTTAGATGACAGACAGTAGTATCTTCATAGTTGTATTTAAACTAAAATTCTTAAAATGGAAAAGTTGCAGTTAGCTGTCGTGCTCCAATTCTTAGCTTTTCCGTCACATATTTCCAATAGGAAGTATGAATTTACGATCATTTCTCTTTTATTATTTTGTAAAAAGATTACAAATTTTTTTAATAAGTTTTTATAATTGCTTTGCGCGTATGTTACAGATTTGGCGCGCTTCAGTCGACGCGTGGTACATCACTCGCGCCCAGTTCACAGATGTCGTATCCACATGTAAACTTTCCTAAAATAAAACATTCTCTTCCAAGAAATCCTGCGTCAAGCCACTCTGTCTCCCGTTTACACCGTTAATCATATATTTCTATAAATAGTAATTAAAATACCATAGAAACTGTCCTAAAAATAGCTTGCACTTATACAGGTTTAGGATATCTAATTCTTTGTTGTACTTAAATGGGAATGTTTTAATATATTCACATAAAAGACCAGAGGTAGGGCCTACCTAGGACGAATTGAAAATATTCTGGATTTGTAATGAAATTTGAAAATTTAATTTTATAACCTATAGTTTATCATAAAATTGATGAAATTCATTATCCTAGAATCTGCTATCGACCTAATCAACATTTTAATCAGTCTGTCATCAATTTATTTATGATAATTCTGTGGACTTTGGTATAATTGAGTAGCTGGCACAGTCCTGATTATGTTGCCTGTGGTAAGTTTCAAATAGCCACATCATATACGCGGTTATAAGGATAACATGTTTCACAAAATAGTTACAAAATTGAAAGCTTGTTTAGGATTTGTTAAATGTAACGAAATCGCATAATTTGGCACTGAATGTAGTTTCTCCTCGTTTATTTAAGGTTAAGGATGTTTTTCACGAATAATGTGCAAGCAGCTGTGTGTTACCATTTATTTAGTGTTGGTCACTTGTCTTATTTCATTATTTTCCACATTATAGGTCCGTGTTTTGTCATCCTGGCACAATAAGACTGGCTGTGTGCCATGGTGACATATACCACACACAATAGTCATGCTTTAAAAGTACAGTACATTTCCATAATTCTGAAAATCTTTTACGACACGATATGATTCTACTTTGAGCAACGAGGCCCTGAATTTGGGAATGGCATGAAACCATTTGTACGAATTGCTTTCGATGTTATCAACTTCTATTCATCGTGCATCGCGTAGATAGAAATCGCGAGACGAGTTTTGCCGTCCAGAATAAAGCTAGTACTTGTAACAACTACGTTATTACTATTTCATCTCATAAATGGTTTTCGAAATTTACTAGTTCTGGGTAACCGAGATGAGTGTACTATGAAATACGCATTGTTTCTTTTTTTAAACTTATTATCGATCGGCGCGGCCATGCCAGTTTATTGTAAAGTATTAAATTATTATGCTAATTTGGTATTAAACGTTGCCCTTGCGATTACACCTTTGGGGAAAGAAACTTTTCCTTATGTATGTTTAAATTTCATTATTAATATATGAATACTAAACAGATTCATATTTTTTTCTAGGAAACGCAAGTTACACGTACGACTTTGCTCTTGGGATGTGTTCAGTACAGCAGTATATTTTTGCATATTTCTTAAAACATCGTTGTGTTTAGTACAAGAAAATCGTAGTTTGTAATCCCTGAAAGGCTTCCAAGGGGAATAATATTTCATGTTTCCTACAATACTGGGATAATAAAATATTCACTTGGTAAAGTTGCAACGAATCTTGCCACGATATTTGCGTCGCATCTGTGCGTGGATCCGATTTGTACGGACGTTTGCTTGCTCAGGTTCTTGGATTTATATTTTGTGGGATTTCTCGCTGGAATGTTGAAAGATGAGTATACAGCCCGAAACCACCGAGTATGTGATTTGAAAAGTGATTTTACGGACTTTTAATATTATAGTAAGAATTTGATACTTACATACATACATATATATAAATAAGCCGCCCAATTCACATTTTGAAATGAAATTAAGATTTTTGCCACAATCGTTTATTTATTACAAATTCTGGTGAAAAATAAACTCCTTATCTACATCCCTATCCTTTAGTAAATGACATTTAAACGCTAGTGTACCGAATGAAAATTCATTCGAAGCATGTAATTTTTAACATGCAAATGCCATTTATTTGCTAAGAGGGCTTAAAATAAATTATTGTATTATAAAATTTCTATCAAAAAACTTCATTGCTTTGTTTAAACCTATAATTTTCCCTATCCTTATTTTCGGAACTAACTCTGTTACCATTGTGTCGTCTTGTTTTTCTCCGAGAACTCCACGGTGGTAGTTCATAGTCTTCCAGCATCTTCTGCATCCGTCTTCTTATCATCTTTTGCTTATGCATTTCAAGCATGTCAGAGTAAGCATCAGAGAAGGGCATTATGTTGACTCCACCGTCTGGACTTACTAAGCCCGGAATTCCAGGAACCATTCCTATTCCTTTATGGGGGGGCATAGGATAGGGAGCAGGATAAGGTGCTGCATAGGGGGCAGCATAGGGTTGTGGATAAGGAGCAGGGTACGGTGATGGATAAGCAGCAGGATATGGTGACATAGGTGGATAGAATTGAGCAAAAGGCAAAGGTGGTTGGACGGCTGGTGAGAATGGCGAACGATATGGTGGACCGAAGGAAGGAGAATAAGGTACTGAGTAAGGTGGTGGAGGAGGACATGGTTCGGGTGAGGGTGCCATTTGTGGAGGTGGCAGCGGAATTCCTGCCACTGGAACCATTGGATTTGTAGGAGCAAGAGGAATACCGAATGGTAATGGTATCGGTAGGGGCATGATTGGATGAGGAACAGCAATAGGTGGTAGCGGATCCGATGGCACAGTTGGGTGCACTACTGGCGGAGGCAGGACAGGCACTGGTATTGGTATGGGTGGAGGCAAGGGTACCGGTATAGGGACAGGAACAGGCTTGTCGGATCCGTCGCTTGGGGGTGGAGTAGGCATGTTCCGGTAGTTACAGAATTCTGGAATAGGTTTTGGGTACCAGTAGAGTGGGTTGCAGGGATCTTCACCTGCCTTTGTTTCGTTTCGCCGTGGTATGGAAAAAGTTCCGTCTATAGAGCATTTTATTTCTTCTAGTGACAGCGCTATGATAAGGAACTGCAACAAAATACATGTGATGTCAAAATTGCATTTTATGTACTTAGGCTTGCTACAAGTGCATATTTACGAAGGTTTTCTACACGCTATGTTTCTCAGTACTGAATATACATATTTTTTTTCGTAATTTATTCAGTAAAGTTACACAATAGTGTCCTTATCATCTAAACTCGCCAAACTTTAACGTTTGATGGCGAGTTTAACGTTTGATGGCCAGGTATGTCAATAGGTATCTGATATGTACGACAATATAAATAGAAAACTAATATCTGTCTCTTTTTCCTTAATACTGGACAAATATCACATTTAAATAAAGTATGCCTTGCTTCTTTGCTTGTTTGCCGGCTTCCGCGAGGCGAATCATTTTATCTTCATCACATTTTGTCACTTAAAGTCCAAACATTAAATACCGAATGGATACAGCACTGTTTCAAACTTACTTTTAACTTTGTGATAGTTTTTATGTGGAACATTGTGTTAATCCTATCAGCCGGCGACTGAAGTGGCTTGTTCCAACAAGGAGGTTTATAAACATTCTGTAAGATTTTATCACACAATGTAAAATCATTTAACGCAGTCAATGAAATCTTATTTTTAGAATACAACACTTGAACTTTTTCTGCTTTTATTTCAAGTTTGATTTTTACACCTGTTATTCTGGGGAGAGTAATACGAACAGACGTGTTTCCTTTTTATTTGATTTTTACATCCCGAATTACTGAATTTGTAGAAATGTGAAGTTATCTAACTAAAGAGTTATGATAGCACTGCTGAATGACTGAAAATGTTACGTTGAGACTGTCTCAAGGTTTTAAAACTTAGTTTGGTTACTGTACAGATGATCACAAATAAAAAATAGAAGTTATTAAATACAGTTATTCTTCAGCTTCAAAGGGGTATTTAGATGACACAGAGAGAATATCACTATCGTATGTTTGAATTTAAACTGTATTGTATAACTTTATCATGCTTGAGAGTTATATAGAATTAAGTAAATATAAATAAATACTTAATCCTAAATCTTTTTGAAATACGAATATTTTTATCAAATGTATTAAGGGTTCTTAGACTTAATTAGTTAGAGACATTTTAATGGATTTAGAGTTAAGTCATATAGCTTAGTATTAATTGTCATGCAATCAAAACGTGTGCCTATACAAAGTTTCAGCTTAATCTCTGCTGAAGATATCTGAGATAGAAGATATATACCTATAAAGTTGCAAAATTTTACTTCACAAACATGCATTTGTTTCGGTTCATACGTACCTACGAATATACTTACATCTTACTAATATTATAAATGCGAAAATTGCGATGTTTAGATGTTTGTTACTCAATCACCCCAAAACGGCTGGACGGATCTGGATGCAATTTGGCACAGGCTTAGGATACACTCCGGAATATGACATGGATTTTTATCAACAAACCACGCGGGCGATGCCGTGGTTGGAAGCTAGTATATAAATATGTTGCAAGTTAAATAAGAGATTGTAATTGTGAAAAATATACTTCTTCATCCTCTATCAACAGAGCGGTTGCAAACAGTACTATCAATCAGTTTGCCCAACTGGATTCTTTTGATTGTCAGTTACGCGGAAGTTAAAATGGATCTTGGTGTGTATTATAAATTTTTCGTTAATGCAATATTCATACTTAATAGAATAAAGTATCTTTCAATGTTATTAACCTTATTACAAAGACTCACATGTATTTACATACTCAGTCATTGAAAGAAATTCCCAGTTCTTTAGAGTCACCGAAGTTTTTACCTTTGGTTTATATTTATCATTTGATTTATTTGTTGGTGTTCATCTTTTGTCTCTGTTTGTGATGGTAATTTTGAGTCAATTTCTGGAAACGAAATAGTTAAAAAAGTGTGGGAGTGCCATGCTTCGGCACGAATGGGTCAGCTCGACCGGAGTGATACCACGGCCTCATAGAAAACAGGCGTGAAATAACCACAGCGTTGTGTTTCGCCGTGTGAGTGAGGTTACCGGAGGCCCAATCCTTCCCCTCCCCCAATACCTCCTAAATCCCTAAATCCCTAAATCCCTAAATCTCCAAATCCCTAATCCCTTAAAGGTCGGCAACGCACTCGTAACTCCTCCGTTGCGAGTGTCCATGGGCGGCGCTGATTGCTTACCATCAGGTAATCCGCATGCTCATTTGCCGACCTATTAAATAAAAAAAAAAACGAAATTGTTATTTTATTAGGTTTCATGAACCCTCATTTAGTGTAAGAAGCTCTAATTAAGGTTTACGGTAAATTGTTACTTGTACAGTTTGTAGGTAAATAAAATGGAAATCATAAATCTTAAAAGCATTTATTGTCATGAAATTATGTAATTGCGATTGGCATCAGATATTTTTTTTAATAATTCTGAATCGTTCGTTTCTATTTCTGTGATCATATCCCCTCGTATGATTTTTAACTTCTGCATTTTATATTTTTTTGTCTTAAGAAGTCGGGGCTTCTTTTTGTTTTTACCTCTTTTATTTTTGTTCTTTTTCATGCTTTTATACTTTTTTCCTTCTCCTACAGTACCATTAATGTTACTGTCGTAAAAATACCAATAAGGTTTATTTCTTTCAGCGATCGCCTTGTCGTACTCGTCATAAATTTGTTGGATGATTTTAAAATAACTTTCTGCTGCAGCTCTTATCATCTTTTCACCTTTCTTTGACATATTTTGGTGGAGGATCAAAATTGGTATCTGCATTGCTGGAACAATTTTGTAGGATGTATACAGTTTTTTTATTTGTAAGCTTATAACTTTGAAGTCTCTTAGTTGTAACTAAAACAAGGGGTTTAAGGCATAGAGTATACCTTTTTCTTTCTCTTGTGAGGGTGAAATCATCAAATGATTCTCCCGCTCTTAGTGTCAGACTCTTACTGACACTAAGAGCGGGAGAATCCCCAATTCCGTTGTTGCTTGCATTAAGCAAGCAATGATTATTTTGATTTTGTGATTATTCACGACAAAATAAAGGGATTAAGGAAGGAAGGAACAAAATCAGAAACGGCTTTAAAATAATTGTAATAGAAAAAAAGATAGGGAATAAATTACAGACACGATTAATAAAAGTCCATTAAATAAGCTCAGAATTACAAATTAGAAGTAAACCTTTTTATTGAATAAAAATTCTTAGGCAAATAATTAAACTTTCGAAATTATTAAAAACTATGTACCTACGTCGTTTACCTATAATTGAAGCAAAATCAGAGTAACGGTGTGTCTTTTTTCATCATGTCTAAATTTCTTGTTTCTATTATAGTAACAACTCCTCCATGTTTAGTTTTCATCCTGTAAACTTTGTTTTTACTCTCCGTTTCTTTTATATTTTTCTCATCCTGTTTATTCATATCTTTTTTATTATCTTTCTTAGCCTTTCTTTCTTTCGTATTATTTTTAGCACTATCATATACGTATATTTGCGGTTCCGAAGGATAATTGCCATATGCTGAATAGTACTCATCATATTTTTCTTTAGTAGCTTTGACATAAGCTTCAGCTATTTGTCGAATTAGGTTCACACTTTTTCGGGAGATAGCTTGGTTGTATAAGGCAACAGGACCCAAACTTGGCATGACAGTCACGGTTGGAGAACTCGGTTCTTTCTTAATATCTTCTTTTAAGAGCTTTATTAGTAGCTCATATGGACTCAAAGGCAGAGTTTTGGTGTTCGATGAACTGAACGATTCGTCATCTGCGCTAGTGATTTCATATAACGGATACGGGAACTGATACAATTGTTCAGGGTAATTGTATTGAGGGTGATGATGATGATGATGATAATGGTTATTATTATTTTCTGACAAATATGAACTGGAATCGTGTTGATGGTTTCCTCCCTTCTCTCTCTCTCTTGTGATTCTAATTGGAGTTGAGCTCGCTAATCTGGAGCGTATTAATTTCTCGAAAATGTCTACGCAGTATGGAGGTAAATGAAGCGGATGCCAGTAGAACGGATTACATTCATTAACGTCTCTGTATCTCTCCTCGAAATCGAAGTTGTCCATGTACGTGACACCGGTGATTGATGGCGACGTTATTACTATGATCTCGTACTGCACTAATACTTGAACCATCCATTTCAGCTGGAAATGTTAATTATACACACAGTTAATGTATGCATTCAGTAATATGAAATTATTTATCTACAATATCGTCAATATAAAAGAAATGCATATTCTAATATAACAGAATATTGTTGTAACAATTTAAGTACGTTAGTGTAATTGACTCATAATGCTAATTAGCAGACATTTTAGTAAATTATATAATTATGATGGAACCAATGTAACGCATGAGTAGGTCAGTACACCTCCATGGAGTAACGTAAATAGATTTATTAAAATGTTTATTAATTAGTATTTCGCTTCATAAAATTATTTGGTTGAAATACAAATATGCGGGATTCGTGAACTGATTTCGCATTCGTAGTACCTTTATGCCAATATGTAGGCGGACCGTATTTATAATGTGTCCTATGGTAATAATATTAATATTAATTTAATTGCAAATAACTCTTGATACCACTCATTACGATGTTGTCAACGAGTAATTGCCTGAAATGTGGGTTGTTATTACACTGGCAGTCATGATATAAGAATCGATTTTTGGGATGTTTCGAAAAAGAATGAACTGAACATTGAAAGGTTTCGTGTATGTAGCAATAGAATATTTAGATATACTGCAAAAAAAATAGTCACCATTTTTTCACCTTGTTTCTAGTCTGTGTAATAAATTTACTTCGCCACTTCAGCCAGACACTCACTGACATTATTCTTAGTGTTTGCTTTTAAACGTCAACTTCTTTCATTCGCACTTTATTGGCACCTACTTATGGCATTGTTCTATTTTTTTTCTAATAGTTTGTCGACGACGGATTCTATTGTATAGCCACCTGCATAGTTACGCAACGGTGCATAATTTACAAAATCGACTAGAAATAATTCATTATTTATAAATAAAACTACAAACATAGCAAATGTTTCATTTTATTTATATCTACTCGCTATCCTAAAAATCCTCCTATTTGCATTTTCTCCAGTTGCTCTTTTATGCTTTGTTCTTTATTTTGGTTCGGATATTTAAATAGTTTTATAATCACTGGTTGGATCATTATTGGCGCTTGAACACAACCCACTGAAACAAAGAATTTGGCGAGTTATCTGGACATTTATTAATTCATTTTGTATTTTTATGCAATACAGCGGCAGACGATGTTTTCGTTTTCTTTGTATCTCTACGGTTGATCCGGTCCATTTGTGTTGACGCGTGGTTCTCCCACAATTATTTCAACGGTTGTATTAAAGTACATACTATATTAGTACTGTACATAACGCATGCAGAGGTGTTTTATGAATGGTAAATAGGCAATGTTTTCGTTGAGAAAGTTAAGACAAGAGCTATACATTTTGGTTTCTAATATCTTAACGTTGGTCCCTGTTAGATTATAACGTAACATGATGTTATTTAGTGTAAACAATTATTGTTTGTCTGTTAGATACTGTTTCGTTGTTCGAATTAGGTTGTACAAAAAACTAAACGAGCATATCGTTTAGTTTTTTGTTATCAGCATTTGCTTAGATTTGTAGATTTTGCGGGTTTTATACAATTTATCGCGGGTAAACTGTCTCGCGGACTTCCTGATGGTAAGTAATAAGTTTCGTCATACCATACCCGCCACATTCATTTACTATAAAGTAAGCTATAATATGTTGTTTTATATATCCTGTATTAGAAATAGATGTTTGATTGTTCTATGATACTTGATTTCTTATGCTAATTTCATTTGTTTAACGGCATGCTAAATAAATGCATACATTTACGCAAACTAAGCTAATAAATTCTTTATAAACACTTACAAGACTTAAAACACCCGATAATTATTTTTAAATAGACGTACCTTGATTGTTTCGAACTATTGTATCAAGATTTAGAACATTGTCTTGACTTTTGGAATGGTTGAAAAATGAAAAAACTATTAACATAAACGTCAGCAGTGTAGTGTGCATGATTGAATTGAAAAATATGACACCATTAAAATATAAAACCGTTTTCATTTTACGGACAATAAAACACAATATAATTTCAACGGAATTTAATTGAAACTATTTTTTACGTGACTTTTTGCACCCGTGTTTTGAATTTGTTAACTACATCATCAAATTTATTGTCAGTTATGAAAGTTGGCATGTAAACGTTTTTGGGAGGGCAGCAACAGTTGTCCCCAGAATCCTCAGCATTACTTCTTCTATTTCTGTCTGTTCTTTTGCTTCCAATTTGTTTATCGTCTTTCTGCGACTGTTCTAGTCTTTTGAGATCTTCTTGAAATGACTTTACGTCCTCCTTTTTTATAACTCCTCGCATATTCAAAAAATCAACCATGTCTTTGTTGAGTTTAAAATCCAAAACGCATTCTGAAAAAAATATGCGTCATTAGACATTTTATTTTCCTTTATGATAGTTAAGGATGACACTTTCGAACGCAGTTAGCATTTTTTTTTATTAATGTAATTGGGCAGCAAGCAGCATATGGGTCACCTGATGGTAAGCAACCGGCGCTGGCCATCGACACCCTTAACTCTTGAGGTGCTGTGTGTTGCCAACCATTTAGGAATTTAAGGTTTGGGGAAGGACGAGGGTGAGAAAGGACTAGGCCAATGGTAATCTCACTCACACGGCGAAACACAACGCCAACTCTGTTCCTTTGGAATGCAGTAATGTCCAGAAATACAAACGAAGTTCAAAGCTTCAAATTAAATAATTCTTTGTATGTTGGATAGATCATTTATCGAGGAAGAAAAGCCAGTGTAGTCTAAACAAGCAGCTGATGAAATCGTGCGCGATTAATTAGCAAATAAGGAAAAAATATTGGACTCTAAATTCGAACGATCTTATCTATACTAATATTATAAAGAAGTAAAATTTGTATGTTTGTAGGTTTGTAGGTAGGGGGTAATCCTTGGAGCCGCTGGTCAGATTGCCAAAATTCTTTCACTGATAGATAGCTACAATGTTCCTGAGGGCTATACTTAGGCTATAAAACATCACGCTACAATTAATTGAACCGCGTGAGAGTAGCTTATTTATTTTAAATAAAAACGTTTTATTATCTTTCAGTTAAAAGTAAAGTTGAAGTCTGTTTTAAAAATTTTAAGTGTCACAATTTTCTAGTATGTTATACTTATATGAAATCAAAATATATAGCATATGCGTTTTACTTCATAAAGTTTGATCAACAATTTGTAGTGGAAACTAGTAACTCAGAGGATACAATATTAAGAGAAGAAATGAACTATATACTAAATTTATGTATACACGTCTTCGCAACAAATAAAATTTAGCTGTAGGTATAAGTATTTACCGTTATTAGGAGGACATTCGCACCCAAAATTAGGTAATTTTACAGGCAAGTTGTCATGTTTTCTGAAGAAATACTGAATTGGTTCCTGTGGCATGGACCAAGTCCATTTGTCCCAGGGCATCATACCCTGCCAGGATTCCGTGACCATACACATCAGAAATAGAACGACGCACACTGGCTGCAAATAAAAAAAATTAAGCTTAAATCATGGAAAAGAGAATATTCCAATTAAATCAAGTAATTTAGCACATAATGGTATTAACTCCTCTGGTGTTACGGGTGCCCATGGGCGGTGCTTATCACTTACCACCAGGAGATGAGGCGGATCGTTAGATTCCTATTACAAAACAAAAATGTACGATCCGAATCCGATCTACACTAGCGAACATATGGTCTGTCATAGTTGTAGAACAATTTCTATGAAGATTTACGCAACGAACATATCCGTCCCCGATTTCTTTCAAGAAATATCCGCATTAGGGTCTCTGAGTCTTCAATAAAACTGCGATTATTATAATTTTTCATATTATTTATTAACGAGGTTAATTTGCTGGTATTGTTATTAAGTCTTACATAAAAATTTAAGTATAAATCTTCAATATTATTTTAGGAGATGTGCATTATCATTGATATATAGATAGATTTTATACAGTTTGTTAGGTTAAGCGAGGGAAATATGAAAGGACCCGATTTTGGAAATCTCAAAAACGCTTTCCTTTTTTACTTCGTTTTTTTATCAGCTATTGTGATTTGTACAGGAAAATAAATGTATTTTTACGATTTGGATAAAAGTCGTTTTAATTGCCCACTAAAATTGGCTTCTTCGATATGTTGTTGTTGTTTAACCTAACACTCTGTATAGGTTTGCTGTGTAGGTACACTCAATGGATTTTTCCTCTGTTATGGCGGTCTAATGATACGTGATCCCGCACGAGTCGGCAGCTCGTTTAAAAAGAAATGCAGTGTGCATATCCTTAGTACAATACTGTTCCATAACTACCATTTGTTTGGATAATCTGATATTCTCTTTATAAACTTTGTTGACTGGAATGAAATATAATATCTGGGATCTAGTTAACCAGAAAACCTCAGTCTTGAACAACAAACCCATTATGCACAATTTTGCTGTTTTTTATAAACTACAAAACTCTTCCTTGCTTGTATTAAATTCCTTTTGAATGAAACAATTTTGTAAACTCTGACTGACTGCTGTATATTTTTGACTGTTTAATACTAAGTGTAATATAAGTATCCACTAGGAGGCGGTTGAGTTGGTATAAAGGTAGGCCGTTGTTCCAGATCACCAAGGTAAGGAAACCCGAGATCATAAAAATCGTAGTCAGTACCAAGATTGGCAAAATATGACATATCGGCATTTTGATCTCTAAGTAACAATTCTTTAGTTAAGTTTGATTTTTGAGTGTCGTATTTTCCAGTAGAAGACAAAAATCGAGCTGTAAAATTGTGAGTAGTTGTAAAGTTCAACTTCTTAATTTTCTTCAAACATACGTCAGGAGGAAAGTATGGGCATTGAGGTGTGGGCAGTGCGTTGGTGGTAGTCGTAGTGGTTGTTGCTTCTGTGGTAGTAGTGGTGGTTGGTGCTTCTGTAGTGGTGGTTGTGGTAGTAGTTGGTGCTTCTGTGGTTGTTGTAGTGGTAGTGGTTGTTGGTGCTTCTGTGGTAGTAGTAGTGGTGGTGGTTGTTGGTGCTTCTGTTGTCGTTGTTGTTGTAGTAGTGGTGGTTGGTGTTTCTGTAGTGGTGGTTGTGGTGGTGGTTGGTGCTTCTGTAGTGGTGGTTGGTGCTTCTGTAGTGGTGGTGGTTGGTGCTTCGGTTGTCGTAGTTGTGGTAGTAGTGGTGGTGGTTGGTGCCTCAGTGGTGGTAGTAGTTGTGGTTGGTGCTTCTGTAGTTGTCGTAGTTGTAGTCGTGGTAGTTGTGGTCGTGGTAGTTGTAGTTGTTACAATATTGACTTGCAGAGTCACACATGGACTCGCTGCTTTCATTCTCTTCGTCTTCACTTTGAACGGCCACCCTTTAACTGTCGAGTACAATTTATCGGAGTCTCTATGAAATATACGTTTGTAGGCGTCTCGGCCTCTCTTTCCAATGAACAGTGGGAACTGCAACATGATATTCCCGCCGTCACTTCCGTTGCAACCACCTTCACACAATTTATAAGGCGCAGTGAACATTATTATTCCTGGTTTCTCTGTAATGCCTAAAACGATTTTTATTCACAATAGTTTACGTTCATTAGGTCTTAGGAAGCGTCGCGGCCATCTCAAGGTATAGTTTATAAAACTTTACTTACTCTCTCCAGCGGCAATCTTCTTGAAAATCTCGTCGCCGTTGGCCGCATTCTCTAGGTTCGCATTGACTTCTTCAATTACTTTCTCTGTTCGTATTACGTTTCCTACAGCCACACAAAATGAACTAAAAATAGTAAATACGTTTAAGTAGAAATACATAAACATGATCACTGATTAAGAAACTTGTCAAAAAAATATTTACATTTTTAAGGTAACAAAATCTGTGTTTATGTTTCAATAATATCGCTCTGTGTTTATATGTAGGTATATGTATAACGCTAGTTTTATGTTTGACTTCCTTATTGAAATAGTTTTACATAAAGTCGTATTATTCGTAAAAAGAAGTAACAGAAGGTTTACAATAAATTAGAGTCGCAGGTTTATACAAGTAGGTATGTGAAAAAGTATTAAAATGTTTATCTCATTTATAAGAAGCAGAGATTGATTCCAAACAAATGCAAGCGCGTGGAAGCCATTATCATAAATCTTTGTTGAAAAGGTATCCAGCGATATCTAGAGAGCGATTGCATTCAGTTCATTTACCTACCGAGTTAGAGGCAGCTTTATCTACTGTTTCCTTATTGTGATTCATTCCAACAGTGTCGGCCAGCTCTAGCGGGACATTGGGTAATATTTATGTACAACGATTTATAACTGTCACTGACTCCCAACTCTTTCCAATTGGCGAAAGAGTTCTACACAATTGTTTCGCTGGGCACTGTGTAAAAATAGTCGTCCAAGACACTGGCCTAGAGTAAGAAAATGTTAATAATACTTCTCGGCCTGCGACATAACTCATGTGGTTTCAACTAAATACAACTGAGAATTATTTGCTGAAATTTGTTACTATGTAGCAAGGTCAAACAATAACAAACTAAATCCATGTTCAAATGTAATTAGTCACTGTAAGCGAAACAGAAACAAACTCAAAAATAATTGTTTTGTTGTAAATCTTCGGCTTTGCATCTAATTAATCACAGAGCTATTAAGGTGAGGGATATTATGTGTGCGTAGTCATAGGGTGGCTTCAACCTGTCATTGAACAAAAACATTTTTTAAAGGATTATGCTGGGAAATATAATCGTCATTAGACCCTGATTACCCAAAGCTGGTCGTTGTGATTTGATAACTGAGTCAGAAATATTTATAGCATGTTGTTATACGATAAAAGTTCCCTTATAGTAAATAACCAGTTACTGTTTTGTGTACAGTAAAAGGCGTGATATATTATGTTACGACGCATTGAATTTGATGGGGAAAGCACGGTGCTACCGTCTACGTAAGAATAACGCGCTGCAATGGTATCGCATGGCACACCCATCAGCGTCACTAAGATGAATTGACAGCCATCTAATTTGTCAACCGCGGGCTGAATAATTCAGGCTCGACTAGACGCAGGGTGTTCACACGTCTTCTCTTGTTACGCTTTTTATATAAACACCATGTATACGAGTAGTAGCAATTGGGTTCTTTATATTTTGTACCTTTGTTTGTTTTCTGTATACAGACGATTTTAGTAAATAAAAAAGTTATCGAATTACTATAACTATTATTTTTACCACTTATTTTCATTTTTTATTAATGAATAAGGTTTTCTATGTTTGGTTTTAAAAAAGTCTGTCAAGGTGAAAACACTAATGCTGAAAATAAATAGACTTTGTGCCTCGGCATGGAGCAGCAGAAGGAGAACGGGGTCATCGACCCGCCCAGGGCAACAAACATTTGTCTCTTTTATGTAATATTAGACAAACTAGTAGTAGAATCACCTAATTGTAGATGATGAGCGCCGTCCAAAAGGCGCGTTGGGGGCCTTTAAAAGGAATAATGCATATGTTGGAGGAATTTGCATGTATCGGATTCTTTCCACCACCATCATTTAACAATAGTTTACTATTTCATTTCGCGCTAAAACGCTAGGTGGCACTGACATAGAGGTACTATTTCTCCCTATGTAGCCATAAAGTATAACGACGTCACCATGGCAACCATGTGCCCCTTCCTAAGGCCGTTCTTGTTGATATTCGACATCCTTAAACCGAGTTTAAACAATAAGACTTCTTTTTCAACAAAACATAGGTACAGTAATAATAAACATTAAATGACCTTTTATAATTTAATATTGTAGCAGCGCGACAGTCGCCGTGCCGCGTGTCGCGGAATGCTGCTCATAAATATGGGCCTCTAGCATGGCTTAAAACTAGTCGAGTATCTCGTCAAATTATTACGTGAGCAAGCCGAAAACATAATAATTAATATTGTATTAGACATCGATGGAATAGGCAATTAGTTGCCAATATGGCATGTTTCACGTTGGTTTTCTGTGAGGCGACCGTGGTCAACCCATTCGTGCCAAAGCTTGGCTCTCCTACAATTGAAAATCATGAAATGGCTTCTCCCACCCAAGGTTAGGCGAGAATGTCAACTCTTACTGACCCCCCTCCCCGGTTCCTTATCCTGCTCTAGGCAGAATAGGTTTATTTATTTTCAGTAAAAGTGTTTTCACTTCGACAGGTTTTTTTGAAAACTAAACATGGATAAAACTAACTAATTTAATAACATTTAAGTTTTGTTACTTTAAATTGGTATAATATTCATTCACTTACTAGTTGCTTGCAATTAGGAATTAAGTTGGTCTTCGTTTACAGTTGCAATAGTTGCTTCTTGTGCAAGACACCTGAAGATCTGCAGAGTTCTCGTCTCTGGTATCAATTTTCCCTGTTTAAAGAAGTTGTGACAGTTTCACAACTAAAGATAGATAGTCCTATGTAACAGTAGCTGCACTTTTACCATAATTATGGAAGTTTCTGATGAACTGGTAAAAGAGATGGGTTCTGTGTTTATTTAATATGAAAAAACTAAATTTAACGGAATTAGTCTTAGTATACTATACAAAACATGATAATGAAACATTCTAATATTAAAAAAAACACCGTTAAAATCACCTAAAATTTTTCATATAAGCATACATTTTTAAATAATGTTCAGCAATTTAATTATAAACGTGAAGCCTGCTATGTTACAGTCTGAATTTCAATAACCCGTCAAAATTTCAACTTCGGGTAAATTTCAATTAAATATTTTACACATTGTTGGACAGTTGCGTTAAAAATATACTTGCACCTTCTTTCCTGTTGATACATATTTTAATTAAGCTATCTGTTACAGCCTGCCTTCATTATGAAATTGCGAAACTATAACTGACCTATCAAAAACAAAAATGTAGATTGACGAACGTTGCTTTTATTGATTGCGAGTGTAATTCATGAAAAGTTCATTTCAAACTTACCCAGAAGAGATTTTAAATTTTTCTATCGGTATTACGATTGGGTGTTGGGCAATGTTTGACAGAAGCTTTAACACATTAAATGCCACTTGGGTCGCTGGTCACCTACGGTAACGGAAGATTCGCCTTCAACAGTTTTCTGTCGGAAATGTTATGTATCATGTCGGAACTTGAAAGTAATTGAGTTATTACTGCATTAAGTTACATGAATAAGTCGTTAAAAATAAGGAATATGCAAATTACGTTTCTCACAAATTTTATAATAAAAAAAACCGGCCAAGTGCGAGTCGGGCTCGCGCACAAAGGGTTCCGTAGCAGCAAATATAATAAACTTATTATGTCCCGCGCGAGACCACGCCCCGCAACTCACGCGCTGCAGCGCAGCGAGCGACCGATCTTCTTGAATCGATGTAATAATAATCTATAGGATTAACGCGTTTTAAAAATATTGGTTCGATGGATATGTTTAACCTATTATTACTCAACAATCACATTTGTAATATTAAACTTTATCAAATGCACAATGTATTTAAGGTACATTACTGGATAAGGATTAATGGCGTTTTGCTTGAATAAGCTAATATTTCTCGTAAAAAGTACCTACATTATAAAGATTTTATATCATCGCGGATTTTTAAAGGTGTACAATACTGTAGTATATTTTTTGATCTATCTTATAAGGTTCAGCCATCGTTTTCAGTGTAAGCACAATAACTTAACCAAAATTACAGTTAAATCAACCTATCTCAAAAACTATAAGAGATACTTTGATCAAACCAAAAATCGTTGAAAGAGTTAATTAGCATGCATCACCTCTATTTTTTTTAGAATTTTATACCCCGTAGTTATAAAAATAGAGGGGGGGGGGGGGGGACATACTTTTTACGACTTTGAGAGCTGATATCTCAAAAACCGTTCACTTTAAGAAAAATGTTTTTTAGAAAACTTTATATCATTTTAAAAGACCTTTCCATTGATACCCCACACGGGTATGTACATCGAAAAAAAATTTTTCATCCCTCAGTTACATGTATGGGGGGCCCCACCCCCAATTCTTTTTTTTACTATTTAGTGTCATAATTTTGTAGCGGTTCATACAACACATATTCCCATCAAATTTCATCACTGTAGTACTTATAGTTTCCGAGTAAATCGGCTGTGACAGACGGACAGACGGACAGACGGACAGACGGACAGACGGACAGACGGACATGACGAAACTATAAGGGTTCCGTTTTTGCCATTTTGGCTACGGAACCCTAAAAAACGAAGGAAAACTGTGTTTATAGATGCTTCATCATCTATCTGTAAGTGTACACTGCTGAGCAAAGACTCTTCTCACACGGAAAATGATTGAGCATTGATTTTTTCACTGGCTTAATGCTGGTTGGCTATTAAGAACTCATAATTAGAAATTATAAGTGTGTTACTTGAGAAGCGGAGTCTGAACGTCAGGGCCACCAAGACATATAAGGGTAAAAAAAATCCAAATGATACTTATGTATCGATTTAGGTTACAATTTTCTCTCCAAGTCACCTAACAACGTAGGATGTTGTAGTAGGTACACAAGTTCGCACGTAAACACAAGTGCACTCTGTTCCCTCACTTTCATGATCCGATAGGAGGGCAATCCGACAGAACAAAGAGGTCAGGCGTATGACCAACAGCTTTACGCGCATCCTGATTGAAACAACATCGAATTTGCAGACCATAGCCTGCTAATGGCTTTTTAAAACCTGTGCAGTTCTAGGGATTGACAAACTAACAAGGTAATCAATTTAAGCTTGCTAAAATACTTGTTCTAGAAAAGGAATCAATGAAATTGTTCATATACTTGGTTGATATTTTTACTACCAAGCATAAGCTGTTACGATTCGGGGCAGAGTAAGAAAATTTGCATTTTTTTTCTTTACTTGATGGTAACCAATCAGCGCCGCCCATAGACACCCGCAACACCAAAGGAGTTACGAGTGAGTTGCCGGCCTCTTCGGGATAAGGCCCTCCAATATCCTCACTCACATGGCAAAACACAACGCTGTGGTTGTTTCACGTTAGTTTTCTGTGAGGCCGTGGTATCATTCTGGTCGTGCCGAAGCTTGGCTCTCCCGTATTAAAACTAAATTGAGTCCTGGCTTACTGTGCCCAAAGCATTATGTATTTAAAGGAAGGGTTTTCTTTTTAGTAACACGATGTTTGAATCTGCGTGTATGATAAGAAGCAAATAGAAAACTGCCATATTATATATTTTTATGCGATTTGCCTATCCGAATCAGGAGGTCTACTCTCTTTCTTCGAAACGAAACTTTCGGAAACGAACGAAACTCGAACGAAAGAACGTTGACGACCCTACTCTGTTTTATTTTCGGACACGCATACGAAGTTCGGTCCAGAGATAATTTTCGTGAACGAATGGAATTGTGTAGGTTCTTTATAATGTGATTTGTGGTAAATTACGGTTTTTACTTAAAGTTAAAATTACAAATTCTCTGGCTGTTTCTTTGAATTCCACATTATCTATGTGGTTTGTTAAACTATTATTTATAATATTCCACGCAGAAAATAAAAATATATTTATTTTTGACGGAATTGTAATTTATCGTGTAATTTATCATCGTTACTTTATAAAAAACTCTTTTACAGACATTTATAACCGACTAATTTAAAGAGTACTATTTCATGCCAAGAAAGGGTTGTTATATATGACGACCAAAAATGGCTGTATTCGGACCGCGCACGACATGTGTCAAAAAATTAATGTCAACAGATTGTTTATTTTTATCAACGCGAGTTAATAAAATATACTATAAAAGACATTAAATATATGTGGAGAAAGGCATTTTATTGAATTGTATAAAAAATGGATATTATTATAAAAACAGGTTTTGAGTGTCAAATCATTTTCCAACCCCAGACTGTGCTGGGGTGCGTGCCAGAAGACCTCCCCGTGGTGCACCCTGGGTGCGGGCGACAGTCTCCCTAACGGGATGGTGACAGGGTTGGTTTGACTGTCGCCCGCAGCGAACTTCTGGCCGGGCGGAGAACCCGGTCGGGTTCTAGAGGCGACCGGCTCTATGCTGGCATAGAGTCTACGCCTCCGTGGGGGCGTTCCTCCGCACGACTCTCTGGACCTAGCAGAGAGCGGGGCGGAGAAACAAGGGCGGCGCTCGTTGTGCACTCACCCTGCCAATGAGTAGCATCGGGGCACTAGCTGCGCCCGACTGCACCCGTCGATATCGTAATCCGGGAAGAGATCATGGTCATGTTTTATGACTCGGACCGGGACGAGGGTCTTGGCTTAACCGCCCGGACCGCGAGGAAGAGAACCTCTATAAAAAATTCCTCCAATACTAAGTTCTGGTGCGCGGCGAGGGTATGTATGGCTGAGGAGTAGGATCAGTCGTGAGCGCACCCCCAGCTAGGGGACCGGTGGACCCCCTAGTTGGGAGACAAATGCACACTTACCCAGGGACAGGGGGCTCTCCCTGGGCGGACCTCTTATTTCCCCCATACTCGTGGGACTTCAATGGAGATGTCTAAACACAAAAATAATAAAAATCCACCTACCGGTGAGGAGAAGGCAAGCGAGGTCAGCTCGCTTGGAGGCGATAGCGAGGGCCAGGTTGGCTCTCGGGTTCGTGGGGAGGCGCTGGCCCCGTCCAGCAAGTCTCGGGCACGGGCCCCGGGGAGGAAGGAGTCGGACTCAGAGTCCGACTCATCATTGTCTGGCGTCAGCATCGCGCTGCGCCACAAAAAAGACCGGGGCGTTTTCAAACGTCCCAGGTTGGAGGATGGCCGAGAGCCGTCCTCCATCGAGCAGGAGGCCCCAGCCCCCAAAATCCCCACGGCTGCGCGGGGTAGGGGCAAGGGGAAGGGCTCCACAAGAGCGGCTGGGAGCCGCTCTGAGCCGGCAGAGCGGCTGGCAGCGGAGGGGAGCGCCCTGGGAAAGGCTGCCCCCTCGGACTCCTCGGAGATGGAGGTGTCCGGAGGTGAGGATTCTGCAGGCGGCGCTGAGAGCCTCCGCCTCCAGGTTAAGGAAGCACTCCGCATGCTGGCTGGGCAAAAAACCCAGGCTGGCAGGAACGGAGTGCTTAAGCACGCGGAGGCCGCAATAATGTCGGCGGTATCCCAGAAGGGCTCAGCAGAGCGGCAGATGACCGCTCTGCAAAAAGAGATGGCCGGAATGAGGCGCGAGCTGGCCCGATTAGCGGCTGCGAACTCTGCCCTGGAGGCGGAACTTCGTGCAGCAAAGGCGGAACTCGCCGCTGCTCGCGCGGGTCGTCCCCAACCCTCGCAGCCAGTGGAGGCCGACCTTCTTGGCCTCATGCGGCAAGAGATGGCCGCCTTCCAGCAGCGTTTCGACGCTCTGGAGGGTAGGCTCCTTCGACCCCCGCTCGCAACTGGCACTTATGCAGCCGCGGCAGCGAAGACGAAGCAGCCACCTAGCCGCGGCGTCAGAGCAGACGCTCCGGTGGAGAAAAGGGCGAAAGTGCCCCCTGCGGCGAAACCACCGAGAGCCCCGCCGCTGACGAGGACGCCTATGGCTCAACCGGCACCGGCTCCTGCTGTGCCTCTGGCACCAAATAGCCGCAAGCGAAGAGGCGCAGCAGCTGAAATTCCAGCCGTTGCAGCCCCAACCCCGCTATCAGAGCTGCGCACCGATGGCGACGAGTGGCAGGTGGCCGGGCAGGCGAGAAGGAGCGCCAAAGAGGCGAGGAAGCGCCGCAAGAAGGAGCAGCGGCAGCGGCGGCAGCAGCGACGCAAAGAGAAGCGCGCTGCGGCAATGCTCCTCACCCCTAAATCTTCGACTGTAGTTATCACGCTACAGCCGGACGCGGCTAAGAAGGGGGTGACATACGGCGACGTCCTCGCCAAATTGAAGGGGACGGTTACTCCCGCGGAGTTCGGGGCCCCTAACGGGTTCGCGGTAAGGGTCACCGCGACTGGAGCCCGTCTTCTGGAGGTCCCCGGCGCGGCCAGCGGCCCATCCGCTGACGCCCTTGCCGAGAGGCTCAGGACGTGCCTTGCGGCGGATGAGGCTCGCGTGTCCAGGCCCACCAAATGCTTGGAGCTACGCATCATGGGCCTGGATGACTCCGTGACGGAGAACGAGGTGGCGGCCGCTGTCGCAAGGACGGGGGGGTGCCCTGCTGATCAGGTGAAGGCAGGCACCATCCGCCCGGACAATACGGGGCTGCGGACCGTGGTAGTGAGCTGCCCCGTCACAGCGGCCAAAAAACTGTCGGAGGGCAAAAGGCTCCTGGTGGGCTGGGTTTCGGCGCAGGTGAAGCTGCTGGAACCCCGACCTTTGAGGTGCTTCCGCTGCCTCATTGGTCACCATGTGGGTGCCAAGTGCACCTCAGAGGTGGACCGCAGCGACCGCTGCTTCCGCTGCGGTCAGCCCGGTCACAGGGCCGGCGCTTGTACCGCCCCGCCGCACTGCGTAGTATGTGCGGCGGCTGGCAAGCCGGCCGATCACCGGGCTGGGGGCAAAACCTGCTCCCCCCCCACCAAGCCCAGGAGCAAAGGTAGGCCCGTAGCCACCTCCACCGCTCCCACCGTCGCTCCCGCTGCCGCCGCAGTCGCCAACACCCCTGCGACTGCTGCTGTCGCCGCTGCCGTCAGAGAGGAGGTCGTGATGGATACCCAATAATGGCTCCATTACGCCTCCTCCAGGCGAACATCAACCACTGCGTCGCTGCTCAGGATCTCCTGCTCCAGAGCATGGCGCAGTGGTCGATCAATGTTGCTGTGGTCTCCGAGCCGTACTTCGTTCCAGCCAGGGAACACTGGGTGTCAGACCTGGACGGCTCGGTGACCATCATCTCGTCGGCCGCCGCCGGTACCCCAACCCCCGAAGGGCCTCAGCGAGGCAGGGGTTGCGTCGCGGCTCGGTTCGGAGAGATCGCCGTGGTGGGCGTGTACTTCTCTCCGAACCGAACTCTCGTCGAGTTCCACAACTCCCTCAGGGAGTTAGTCACCGTCGTCGTCGGGTTCCGTCCCCTCCCCGTGTTGGTCCTCGGGGACTTCAATGCCAAGAATTTGGCTTGGGGTTCCCGGCTCACTGATGTCCGGGGAAGGATGGTCGAAGACTGGGCTCTGGAGACAGGCCTAGTCGTGCTGAACCGGGGTTCTGTCCCCACGTGCGTACGGATGCGGGGCGAGTCAGTGGTGGACATTTCGTTTGCTAGCCCCGCTCTGTCATCGCGCGTTGTTGACTGGCGCGTCATGGAGGAGGTGGAGACGTTTTCGGACCACCGGTATATACGGTTCGACGTCTCCGCCGAGTCCGCAGACCCGCCAGTCAGACAGGCCCCGTGTGGCCCGCGTTGGGCGCTTAGGCAACTGGACCGGGAGCTTTTCCTGGAAGCCGCAGTCGTGCAGGCCTGGGTAATACCACCGGTCAGGCCAGCCGACATTAACGAGGAGGCGAGATGGCTCCAGGACGCCATGTCAAGGATGTGCGACGTGGCGATGCCCCGGATCCGACCGTGCCAACGCAAGCGCCAGGTGTATTGGTGGTCGCAGGAATTGGCAGACCTGCGCGGTGAGTGCACCGCAGCGCGACGCCGATACACCAGGCACCGCAGGCTCCGTCTCCGCCCTCTGGACGCTGAAACCAGAGAGGCGGAGCTATACGAGGAGTACAGGGCGGCGAAGGCCACCCTCAGGGTGGAGATCCGGCGGGCCAAAGATCGGGCCCGCGAGGAGATGTTGGAGACTCTGAACAGAGACCCGTGGGGACGCCCCTACCGGATGGTGCGTGATAAGCTCCGCACCTGGGCGCCCCCACTGACTCAGAGTCTCCGGCCGGAGGTCGTGGACGAAGTGGTTGGGGCGCTATTCCCCCGACCACAGATGGGTTACACGCCTCCGGCTATGCCCCCGCCCCCTGCGGTGCCCAATGCGGGCTACATCGACGACGACGACGAATCCGCTCCGGAAGTGACCGAGGTAGATTTGAGAGTGGCGGTGCGCCGGCTGAGCGGCAAGAATACCGCCCCAGGACCTGACGGGCTGCATGCCAAGGTCTGGGTCCTGGCCTCGGAGGCTCTCAGGCCTCGACTACTTGGTCTGTTCAGCGCATGTTTGGAGAGAGGCCAGTTTCCGCTGTCGTGGAAGACGGGTAAACTGGTCCTCGTGAAGAAGCCGGGGCGTCCTGCGGACTCTCCGTCCGCGTACCGGCCCATTGTGCTGCTCGACGAGGTGGGAAAGCTGTTCGAGAGGATAATCTCAGACCGCCTCGTCGGGCACCTGTCTGGAAGGGGGCCGGATTTAGCGGACGGCCAGTTCGGCTTCCGCAGAGGGCGCTCCACGGTGGACGCCATCATGCGCGTGAGGGACCTCACGACGGGGACAGCGTTGGCCGGGAGGCGAGTCGTCGTGGCGGTGTCTCTGGACATCGCCAACGCCTTTAACTCGCTGCCCTGGAGCTGCATTTTGGAGGCACTCCGGTATCACCGGGTGCCTGCCTATCTCCGTCGTGTAGTCGAGGCTTACTTGACGGACAGATGCGTCATCTACCCCGGTCACCGGGGCGTGTGGAATCGGCGAGAGGTGTCGCGCGGTGTCCCACAGGGATCGGTCCTGGGACCTCTCCTGTGGAACATCGGGTACGATTGGGTGCTACGCACCGACCTCCCGAGCGGCGTCAGCATTGTCTGCTATGCTGACGACACGCTGGTGCTGGCGAACGGGAGGTCGCATCAGGCGGCGGCCGACCTGATGTCACAAGCGGTTGCGACAGTCGTTGCAAGGATCCGGCAGTTGGGACCCGAGGTGGCGCTCCACAAGTCCGAGGCCATGTGCTTCTATGGCCGTCGGAGCGCGCCACCTCCAGGTGGGTCCCAAGTAACGGCAGGAGGAGTTACCATCGGCGTCGAGTCGGCGATGAAGTACCTGGGTCTCGTCCTCGACAGCCGATGGAACTTCACGGAGCATTTTCGTCGTTTGGCCCCTAAGTTGGAACGGTCTGGGGCCGCGCTCAAGCGGCTCCTTCCCAACCTCGGGGGGCCAAACGCCTCCTGCCGGAGGTTGTATATGGGGATTGTGCGATCCATGGCCCTCTACGGTGCCCCTGTGTGGGCGCCGGACTTGAAGCGGCGGCCGGCTCGTACGCTGGTCGCGTCCCAGAGGGTCATGGCTATACGAGTAATCCGCGGGTATCGCACGATCTCCGGGGAGGCGGCGAACCTCCTTGCCGGATCACCGCCGTGGGATCTAGAAGCGAAGGCGCTCGCGCGCGTCTACAGTTTGCGCGCAGACGCGCGTCGCCGGGGCGAAGATCCTCTGCCGCGCCAAATAAGTGCGTGGCGGAATGAGCTCCGGCGAGATCTCATGGCAGAGTGGAGACAACGACTGTCGCAACCGAGGGCCGGGCACGCTACCATAGCAGCGGTAAGACCCCTCTTTGAGGAGTGGCTTGAGAGACGCCACGGCGTCCTCACCTTCCGTCTGACGCAGGTGCTTACCGGGCACGGCAGCTTCGGTAGGTTCCTGTTTCGGATTCAGCGGGAGGAAACGCCCGAGTGTCGTCATTGTGAGGACCACCTAGAGGATACGGTGGAGCATACGGTAGCGGTATGCCCTGCCTGGGCTGAGCACCGCCGTATCCTCAGGGAAGTGATCGGCGGCGGCGACCTCTCGCGCCCGGCCTTAGTCGAGGCCATGGTGCGGAGTGAGAGGAACTGGGACGCCGTCTCCTCCTTTTGTGAAGCAGTCATGCTCGCAAAGAGAGAGGCGGCCCGCGTGAGGGAGCAATCCTCCTCCTCACGCCCCAGCAGCCGCAACTGGCGACATTACGGGCGTCGGGGATCGAGGGACGATCTCCGGCCACCGTAAGTACGGGCCTGCGGTCGGCGAGTAAGGGCAGCTCGCCGCCCGACCAGAACCAGGCCCGAGCGTACGGCGCGTAGCGTTCCGCGCGCGCCTCAAAGAGCCAATAGACCACCACAGACGGGGCCCTAAAGGGCTGATGTTCAGCCGGGGTTGCGGGGTAAGCGCAATAAGGTACCGCGACCTCGGCACAGAGCAGGAGAAGGAACAGGGGG